GCTGGCCACACACATAAATAAATAAATAAAATTTTAAAAAATAAATAAAAAATAAAGTTAACACCAAGATATAATACCAGCACTTGGGAGGCTGAGGCAGGCTTACTTTGAGTTCAAGGCCAGCTGAGCTACATAGTGAGATTTGGTCTCAGAAACAAAACAAAACAACAAAACACCAAAGTAAAGGCTTTTAAGGAACTATTGTTTGTATGTGGCCTTTGTAAGTAGGTGTCATCTACTTCTTTTGTTTTTGACAAAGGTCTCATTATGTAGTTCAGATTGACTTTTACCAGAAATCAAAAACTCGGGACCTTACACTTGCCAGGCAGGAACTGTGCCACTGGGCTATCCTCCCAGCCCCAGACTGGCCTTGAACTCACCATGTAGCCTAGGCTGTCTAGAACTCAGCCTCATGCCTGGGATCACGGGTGTGTGCTGCCGCACCCAGCTGATTGTAACTCAAAGACTTCCACTGTCTATTCATTTCACAGCACTAGGGATTGGCCTCAGGGCCATTGCAGGGCCCACCTCCTCTTAAAATATTTTGAGACAGGGTCCTGCTAAGTCCTTCAGTTACAGGCTGGGCCAAACTTGCTATCCTCCTACTTCAACCTCTTAAAGAGTGCTGGGATGACAGGGCTGCACCACTGGGCCCAGCTGTGATGAAAATGCTTTAAAGGGAGGATTGTCCTGCAGGTGTGTGAGCCAGCTGTGCTGTGAGCCAGTGGGGGCCTGGGTCTGTGTGTCACCTGTGAGTAAAGATGTTCCTGGGCTGGGGAGATAGCTCAGTAGAATACGTGCTGCCTGGCAAGCACAAGATCCTGCGTTCAATCCCTGGTACTGCAAAAAAAAAAAAAAAAAAAAAAAAAGCTCCAGTGGTGATGGGTGGTGAGGTCTCTAACCATTTGACAGGAGGTGACCGAAAAGCAGACTTAGGCATCTGCCAAGCTTATGACAAAACACTGATACAAATGACTAAGAAATGGTGGTGCATGCCAGTGTCCCAGCTACTCAGAGGGCTGAGGCAGGAGGATGGCAAGTTCAAGGCCAGTTTGGGCAACTTGGTGAGATGCTGTCCAAGGTAGACGTAGCTCAGTGCTCCTTGGCTTCAATTTCCATTACTAACGGGTGGAGAAAACCGGGACCTTGTACTAGGCACAGCTGGAAAGCAAGCATCTGGAGACGGGGCAGGAGCAGCCTTGCTGGCGCAGCTCTCACAGCCTCGCCAATCCTCTGGGCAGGTGTGAAGCAGCAGCTGGGGATGGTGCGGCCCGGTCTGGGGATGTTCACTGTTTTCATCTGCCTGCGCGGCACCAAGGAGGACTTGGGTCTGCAGTCCACCAACTACTATGTGTACTTCGATACGGACATGGACAAAGCGTAAGGCTTGTGTGTGCATGCATGTGATGGGCTGGCTGGTGCACGCACTCCTGATCAGAGTGCAGAGCCCCAGGGGATGAAGTGTCCTTGGTGTGGGGCCAGGGGCTTTGGAGAAGGGCCTGGACGTGGGCAGCTCCCTCTTCTCCCTGCAGGATGGAGCGCTACATCTCCATGCCCAGGGAGAAGGCCATGGAACACATTCCCCTTCTCTTCATTGCCTCTTCGTCCACCAAAGACCCAACTTGGCAGGACCGCTTCCCAGGTGGGCTTCAGGTTGAGCGGGTCTGGGAGGATTGGCGTGGGGGCCAGGCAGCAGGTAACCCAGCTCTGCACCCTAGATCGGTCCACGATGATCGTGCTGTTGCCCATGAACTTTGAGTGGTTTGAAGAGTGGCAGGAGGAGCCAAAAGGAAAGCGGGGAGTTGACTATGAGACACTCAAAAATTCCTTTATCGAAGCCTCCATGTCAGTGGTCATGAAACTGTTCCCACAGCTGGAGGGGAAGGTAGGGAGTAGGGTCTGCAGCGGGGTGCCGAAGTCCGAGGTCACTGAGCCCCTGCAAAGGACAGGGAGCTCATCCAAGCAGAAGAGATGAGGATCTCACCAATCCCAACTCCTATCCTTTTGTCTCCCCAGGTAGAGGATGTGTGTGGAGGGTCCCCACTGACCAACCAGTTCTATCTGGCTGCTCCCCGAGGTGCCACCTATGGGGCTGACCATGACATGAGCCGCCTCCATCCCCGTGTGATGGCCTCGATGAGGGCCCAGACCCCCATCCCCAACCTCTTCCTGTCAGGTACACTGTGCTGGGGGCCAAATCTGAGACCTTGGGCTTCCCTGGTACCCCAAGTCCTTTGTTCCCATCCTCAGGCCCTGGGGTCTCCTGCAGTTCCATACCTCTGGTCCTCATCTGAGGCCGCCTCTGGATAGCCCTGCCCTCCCTCTCCATGGGGTGACACTCATGGCACCTGCTCTTGTCTTCTAGGCCAGGACATCTTCACCTGTGGGCTGCTTGGTGCCCTGCAAGGGGCCTTGCTCTGCAGCAGTGCCATCCTGAAGCAGAACCTGTACTCGGACCTCAAGGATCTTGGCTCAAGGGTCCAGATGCAGAAGAAGCAGCAGTAGTTTGGCGAGGGATGAGTCAGAGGAATTGGTACCACCTGACTCGGCATACTGTTCTTCTACATAAGATCTACACAAAAAAAGCACTCATTCTTTTTTTGGTCTTTTTGAGACGGGTTTTGCTATGTAGTTCAGGCTGGCCTTGAACTCACAGCAATCCTCCTGCCTCAGCCTCCCGAGTGCTGATATTACAGGCGGGGGACCGCCACACCAGACTTCGGGTTTGTCTTTGATGTAGGCTTAGTAGCAGTGTTCACCTGTAGCTCATGCAGCTGGCACAGGTGATGATCTTTGTACCTTTTACAACAGTGTTCTGACTACTGCTCTGCACACCCGAGATGGCTTGTGAGAAGCACTCTCTGGCTCCCTCCCGCATACCGCCCAGCTCTGGACAATCAAAGTACAGATTCTAGGGGCCAGTGTATAGAACCTTGGAAAGTGCTGGTCCATAGAAGCAGGTTGGTCCAGTCCTGCCGTGGGGAGTCCTCTTGTTCAGTCTCAGTGCCACAGTGGATGCTACATCATCATATGAGTGGGTGGCACCCGGCTCTCAGTGTGCATATGCCAAGACACCCCCAGCCCTGTGCTCTGGGTCACTCAGGGAAGTGTGGCGTTAGTGGTGAGGACGGACTGATACAACTTGGCTGGGACAGAGTGGCCTGAAGGAGCACTCTAAACTGAGAGCATAGCCGCAGTGACAGTGTCAGGACACCAGCCCAGGTGTTCCCCACGTGGTCAGGAGGAGGGCTACCGTGAAGTCAGAACCAGAACACAGCCACCTGTGCATGGCATCTGCCATTTGCTGGTACGCAATTTAACCATCCCTTTTCCAAAGTGCTTAGGATTGGAATTTCTGATTCAAGTTTTGGAATATTTGTACATACATAATATCCTGGGCACAGGACCCAGGTCCAAACACATAATTCACTTGGTTTCATATAATAAACTTACCAAGAGTAACTTTAAGTAGTAATCAGCCAGCCAGGGTAGCAGCATACCTGCAATCCTAATATTTGGAAAGCTAAGGCAAGAGAATCACTGTGAGTTTGAGGCTAACCTTGACTATATAGTGAGACCTTGTCTTAAAAAAAAGAGAAAAACATCATGTTGCCATTCAGACAGCTGTAGATTTTAGAGCATTTTCAATTTGAGAATAGGGATGTTCAACCAGTGTGAAAGAAGGATGGGAAGGTGAGATAAAGGCTAGAAGTAAAGAAAAACAGTGGCCTTATTTAGCCTTATTTTATATACCACTAATTTACATAGCACTAATTTAATAAATTTCATTGCTTTGATAATCTGAAATTTATTTTGATTTCTGTTCAAGAACACAAAACTACAGTGACATAGCATTTACAGAAGCGCAGTAAAACATCACATACTGAAAATTACTTATCATTAGACCACAATGAGCTTTAAAAATATAATTAATTTACAAAAAGCTGAAAATATAAAACAATGCTAAATAGTGGCAATCTACTAATCAAACAAACGGAAATAATTTCAACAATCAAATGTTCACAAAACATGGTCTCATGAATAAAAAATCTATCAAGAGTATAAGGAGGTTGGCTGTGCTGGCAGTTTCTACACTCTACAGCTTAGAGCTGAACCCTTTACAGACAAGTTTCTAAACTGGAATATTTTAGGAAACTCACATCTCATTTGTGGTTCTAGCTACAAAGTGGCTGAAAGTCACGCTTGGCTGTGGGTGTACAGTTAATATTAACTCTCAAAAAATTGCTTCCCAGCATCCTTAAGCAAGGCAAGGCCAAACTCGCCCTTCCTAGCAAGGGTTCTCAAGAGCCAGCCTGGTGGAACCACTGGCCTGTTGTACAGCACACCATCTTCCATGTTCAAACAATTCCAAACATGTGTAAAGTGCTCAGCTTTCATCAGATCCAGCATTATGTACCAAGTTACCCTGGAAAAATAAGGACTAGAGAAGGAAAGGACAAAACCATTGGAAATTTTGTAGGTACAGCATTCTAGCATTGAATGTTTCGTGAAAAGTCATCGTGGAGAAACAGAATGTCAGTATGTATAGAAGTTAGGTTTTTGTCTGAGGGTTTTAGCCTTTCTAGATGCTCTGGCCTTCCACCTGCCAGAACTCAGAAGTGAATGCTAAACAATCAGTAATCTGTAGCAAGAAAGTATGTTCCTCTATCAACACCCATGATTCCAGGCTGACAGTCCTTAACAGGAATTGCTCTTTGACCCAAGCTGGGGCAGGAGGGGACTCCCACACTGTCTGTAGGGAGCCAGCGGCTCTGTGTACTTCCTACACACAGCTGTCCAGCCAGCTCTCTCTCATCCACACCGCAGGTTTCCCTTGGTGTGTGAGAGATTTCCTCCAGCGCACTTTCAGCATAAGCAGTGATACTTCTCAGGGGCTGAAAGACTGGAGCTACATGGACTCCATGACACTCGCCAACCTTACTGGCTTCTGAAACCAACCTATCTTCCTGTTCTTTTTTTCCCCCACTGAGTACAGTACTTGATCTTCTTATTCTCTTTAAGAGCAAAAGCCAAAAAGTATAAGGTTACAGCATCTGATAACCAGAAAGTGTTTTTTGCCCTCACTATTACACAAGGGAAGAAAACTCCTGAAGTGCGTAAGGGTTGTTACTATGCTAAGCGGCTGTTAACGGTGCCAGAGGCTGTCTTACAAGAGCTTACACTTCTTGGGGCGACCAGAGGGGTATCAGATACTGACTGCCCTGTTCTATTGTAGTTGCCAAATGAGTGAGCGGTGTTATTAAGAGTTACTGGAGAGGGCCACAGGGATGGCTCAGCGGAATAAGCACTTCCCTAGCAAGTGCAAGGGTCTGAGTTCAATCCCTGGCTTTGCAAAAAAAAAAAAAAAAAAAAAAAAAAGAGTTACTGGAGTAAAACAGAATAGCCAATCTCGTGGCAGGGGGCAGTTAGGAAGGAATAGAAAACTTCAGGTGGGCCTCTGAACAGGTAGGGGACTTGGAGACAGCAAAAGATGGGCAAAAACCTAAATAAAGAACTACCATGGGAGGCTGTGAAATGCAGGACAGAGTGAGAAAAAAGGCACAGAAGTGGACACCCAACATGAGGGAGCTTTGGCTTATGTGAGAGGCAGAAAAAGACAGGAAGGTGTCACTATGCAGAATCCTAGTGTCCACAACTTGATTCTCTAAGCCAAGAAAAGTACAGACATAGGCTTCTGTTTCTGGAAAACAGTATTTCTTTTTTTTTTCTTTTTAAATTTCTGTAACTTTATTTTATTTTATTTTAATTTATTACATTTATTTATTGTGTGTGTGTGTTTGTGTGTGGCCAGCTCAGCCCACCAGGGGGCGGGGCTGGCTGGCATGTGGTGCTGGGGGATCAAACCGAGGTCCCTGTGCTTTGCCAAGCTTGTTTCAAGTAGGTGCTTTAGACCACTGAGCCATCTCTCCAGCCCCTGGAAAACAGTATTTCTAAGGTTATCTTTCACTTTTTTTTTGGTGGAACTGGGGATTTAACTCAGGCCCTTGTGCTTGCCAGGCAAGCACTTATTCTTAGCCATCTCCCTGGCCCCTATCTTTCACTTTGGACAGGGGAACCAATTAAAATGATTACTTAAAAAAAAAATTCAGGACCAGCCAAATAGCTCAGCAGATTAAAGCGCCTGCAAGCAGGCGCAGGGGCCAGTGGTTCAATCCCCGGACCTGCTGTGCTAGCCCCACTCCCAAAGGGCATGCTGAGACAGCAACTGAGACTGGGCATGGTGGCACAAGCCTGTAATCCCTGCTCTTGGGAGGCTGTAAACAGGAGAATCACTATGAGTCTGATCTAGCTGTGAGACCCTGAACACCCTGTAGACCCTTCCCTAAAATACAGAAAAAAAAAAAATTTAAAAATGCAGTAGAAAAGTGAAATGACTGGGGGTGTGGGATGGGGAAGCAAGAAAAATGGAAAGACAGATGGCAGCAGGAAATGTTGGCAGTTGAGAGATCACTAGGTAGAAGAGAGAAATCCAATTCTGAGAGACAGTAAGATAGCCTAGCTAAACCATTTAGCATACCAAAGGCCTTGGTTCTTTGGGAGGTAGGCCAAGGATAAAAGTAGGAGTCTTTTAAAGGATGAAGAATGGATGCATTTTTGAGGAGACAGTGAAAGGAATGGAAGCCTGGCTCTGAGAAGAGTCAGAGTCAGAGACACCGGGGTGTCCACATGGTTAGTCAGCAGCATCCACTTCTACAAAGTACAAGAGAATGCGCACACTGAGAAAAAGCCACTGGATCTGGTGACTTGATAAGTGCCTAACTGTGGGAACAGGCAGCACATAGGGCCCACGGTGAGTACGTATGCAAAAGCCACCAAAAGAATGAATGGCAAAGTAAGGGAAGTGGCACTTTGGGAGTAGAAAAGCAGCCTGGCAAACAAACAGCATGGTGGGAACCAGGGAGATCTGGGCTGGGAGGGCCTGGGAAGGAGCCAGTGTAGATGGGCACCAACAGAAAACACTACCGGGCAGACAGAGAAAGGAAAAAAAGCTCCGGTGTCCAAGGGAATGCTGGAGGAGGCTGTAGGGATTCCTTGGGTTGGAAGAAAATAAAATTCAGACTAGACAAGCAGGGGAAATGATACCACGGCGAGTACACATGCTCCCCTTAGCCCCAGCAAGCACGCTACCAGCCAAGAATGAAAACTTTAACTCTGCACCCTGGGCTGCTGTCAGCCAGGTGGGCATCAGAAACAGCTAGGCCCGTCTCTTCCTCAGACGACATCTCCCACGGCACAGTGTATCCCCTTCCACATCCCTGGCAGGGCTCTGACCTCTTCTCAGCCCCTCAATTCTAGGGCAGCATGATGAGAACAGACTGAGATAAAACTTCAAAGCGTGATCCAAGACACTACCCTAAGGTACCCCAGGGAGTCCACTGCATTTCTGAAATGTAATGACCCTTGACATGGGATGGCAGGAGAATTTTCACTAATTATCCTTGTCATCTTACAGGAAAAGACCATTAAGAAGATTAAGGGAAAGTATGCAGACAGGGCAGTTAAGTTTCTAAATATAAATGTTTTCTTTTAGGCAATAAAAGCAAAATGGAGTTTTTGGGAAACTCGATTCATAAAAGACCTTTGAAAAGAATCCAGACCAAAATCCTCCTGTATTTTTTTGCACAGAGAATGAATCTGCCCTTTAAAGAAATTCCTATTTCAACAGCCACAGCCTATTTTTCAAAATTCTGATGGGAACAATGATTTCACCTACAGAAACCTCAGGCTCAGTTTCATACTCAGTGCTACCAAACATTAGTCCACGCACTGTCCCAAGTAATATGAAATCAGAACGGGGAGAACTTACGCTAAGTGAGTCACACTTGCAGGCAACAAAGTCCACCTTTTCACCTGCTGTTCTGCGCTGCTGTGAAAGCCTCTGAAGAGAACCATGAGCTCAGCAGCCCTCTGCTCTCCACTACTTCACCATCTTCTACGCCCCAAGAGAACTTAGGCACCCTGTGTGCAGCGTCCTACCTCTGCAGGGAACAGCCGCACAGAGGGCAGGGCCACGGGCAAGGGCTGACCTCACTACACAGCCACACAGCCAAGGTTAGGGGAGAGTGGACAGCAGTGTACCTGCCCAGGCCTGGGGTGTCCCTTAGGCCACAGCCGTGTTTCCACATGCTCCCTCTGCCCACACTCGGAGGAAAGGATGGATGGAACACACCAGCATAAATAACAAGGAACACAGAAGTACAACACCACCAAAGTGCAGGTGCCAATCCCCAAGCAATGGCCCCCACCTCCGCCGGACTTGCCATCAAACCCCACCAAGGTCACATTGCTTTTCTCTTCATTTTTCTTGATTCGGAAACAAATCAGCAGGGAGGACAAGGCTCTTGTGGTTACAAATCAAAGCTGAAATGAGAGCAACAAAGTCCACTGATTATGTTTATCTTTTTCTAGTATAATATACAACCACACTACTGATCTTATAGCAACTGCAGTGGAAAGAAAAGACGAAGAATTAAGACAATCTGCTCCATTAGCATAAGATAGTAATTCACAGGAGTAAGAGGTGGATGTAGCTCAGTGGTAAAGAGCTTGCTTTGCATGAATAGCCTCCCTTGTCCCCCCAAAAGACTAGTTTTTACTTTTTTGGTGGCACTGGGGATTGTACATAGGGTCTTGCACATGCTAGGCAAGCACTGTACCACTGAACTATAACCCTAGTCCTTTTTAAAAAAATTTTTATTTTGAGAGAAGATCTCATCACGTTGCCCAGGGTGGACTTGAACATGAGATTCCCTTATGTCAGCCTCTGGAACAGCTGAGCTTACAGGTAACATTAATGAGTTTTGCTGAGTGTGGTGGCACATGCCTATAATCCTAGGACTCAAGAGGCTGAGGCAGGAGGATCACTATGAATTTGAGGCCAGCCTGTACTAAAGGCCAGCCTTGTGTCAAAAACAGAAGAACAAAAAGCATTAATGAGTCTCACAGTCAATATGAAACAAAGCATACACTAGAAAGAAATACACTTGACAGATGATATATAGAAATCCTGGCTTCTGCTTTATACTTGCATGTATATTTTATTTATTTATTTGTATTTAGGGCAGGGTCTGCAGTGTCTCACTGCATAGATTAGACTTTGTAGATCTTTTGGACTCCTATAGTGATCCTCCTGTTTACAGCTTCCCAAGTGCTGGGATTACAGGTGAGCGTGGCAGGCCTGGAGATCAACCTCCAGGCCCCTGCATCTACCTAAGCAGGCGCTTTAATCCACTGAGCTATTTGGCCAGCGCTGTGCATATATATTGTTTCCATCTGTGTGAGTTGCACAAATAAACTGTGGTCCCTGCAGGATGTCCGGAACAATTCATGGCTGGCCACTGACTGTTTCTTTATCATGCCCTCCCTGTTGCTAAACAGAACAGAGCAGGAAAAGTGCCAAGGGGTGTGTAGACTTCCTGCTGAGACAGTTCTGCCCCACCCATATCCCCACCTGTCCTGGGCTCCTGAGGTGTGGGGCAGGGGGAGGGCTATTCTCCCTCACAGAGGCAGACCAGCCACACTCAGAGGGTACAGCCCACAGAGATGGATGCAGGCCTGATCCAGGCAACCAGAGGCCCTGTTGTCTCTGGACTCACCTTAGGAGCAGCCTAATGCTATGCCTGAAGTGTGGTTCCAGCATGTTTAATCTTCTGGGGACTTCCTAGTAATGCAGCTACACTAGCTCTACCCATGTAGTAAATCACATTTTATTTTTTATCCCATTTCCCAAAATGACTCATATGCCTATTAAAAGTTTGTACATTGGGGCCAGGGAGATGGCTCAGTAGAATAAGCACTTGCCTGGCAGGTGCAAGGGCCTAAGTTCAATCTTTGGTTCCACCAGTTATGTATAATAAAAAGCCTAAGCCTGGGTATTTGGGGAGTTGCTATCAGGTCCTAATTCTGAATGGAAACCCAGGAAGGAACTGATAAGTTTGGAGGCAGACTTGTCCCTCAAGGGAGGGAGCTGTAGTAAGGAAAGTTCTCTTCTAGCTCTCTTCGTAGATACTTATGCAGTATGTGGATGGTTCTAGTTTACAGTCTGGAAAGGGTGGAGGAAATGTCAGCAGCACCGCAGAATTAACTGCTGCTACCACACCAAATGCCAGTCCAGTGCCATGCCTGTCTGTTGTACATGGTCCTGGGAACATGGCTCCTTCCTTACCTTTAGGTTCAAACGCTGGTAGTCACTGGCCTTGGGTCGCCGAGTGACTTTAGATCTTTTTCCTTCCAGGGCAAAAGCAATAATCTGGAAAAAAACAAAAACAAAAGGATTAAAGAGTGGCTCTGTAATTGATGTCTCACGCTCTAAAACTGGAGGCAGTCACCTGGCAGTATATTTGTTAACGATCCTGGTTAAAGAAAAAGGAGAACACCCACAGAATGGCCTAAACCTGTGTGTGGTGCTGGGTATCACATGCCAGCCAAGTATCCTACCAGGTGGGGTGCAACTCAATGGTACAGCACCTGCCTAACATCCTGGAGCCCTTGAGTTCAGTCCTTAGCACCCTACACACAAATAACACTGCAAGGCCAGTTGTGGTGGCAGACATCTGTAACCCTAGTGCCAGGAAGCTGAGACAGGAGGATCATTGTAAGTTCAAGACCAGCCTGGGCTGCAAAGTGAGCTCAAGGCCAACCTGAACTGCACAGTGAGATTCTGTCTCAAAGAGACAACCCTCCCCACCGACCCCCCCCCAAAAAAAACCTGTAATGATCTTAGGAATATGAGTCCTAATTATATCAGAATGCTGCTCAGAAAGAAATGTCAGATGGAAGGAAGCAGCCCTGGGCTCTAGCTTGGGGAAATCTGTTTCATCTGATCTAGGGTACTCAGGCAAAGACCTGCAAAGCACTACCCAGAGAGCATTAGCTTAAGTTATTCCTTTTTTTAAACAAATCATAATCAGTTGTTTCCTGTCTACACACATATCCGTCAGCCCCTTAGCTTTATCAACTGCTTCATTGTTGGATACTGGGATTAAACCTAAGGAATCACACTTCCTAAATCGGCACTCTACCACTAAGCTACATCACCAACCTAGGTTTTTTTGGTTTTTTTTTTCCCACAAATTTTGAGACATGCTCATTAAATTGCCCAGGCCGGCCTGGAACTTACATCTTCCTGTCTCAGCCTCTTGAATAGCTAGGACTGTAGGTGTGCGCACCACAATCCACTGTCAACTGCACTCTTAACTTCACTACTCTCATTATGACTTGGATGGACAAAGAAGGCACAGTTGACTACTGGTCTGCCCTCATTCTTTTTTTTTTTTTTTTTTTTTTTTTGCAGAACCAGGAACTGAACTCAGGCTCTTGCACTTGCCAGGGAAGCACTTATTCCACTGAGCCATCTCCCTGGCCCCTCTGCCATCATTCTTTACAGCCACAGGCCTGACAGCTATCATAAACTGAACTCTCCAGGTTTTTTTTTTTTTTTTTTTGCAAAGCTGGGAACTGAACTTACGCCCTTGCACTTGCCAGGAAAGCACTTATTCAACTGAGCTATTTCCCCAACCCCTTCTCCAGCTTTTTAGGAGAGGTTTATTTTTTGGTTTTGGTGCCAAGGACCGAACCCAGGGCTTCCAGGTTGCAAGGCAAACATTCTACTACTGCTGAGCCAAATCTCCAGCCCATGAACGCTCTAGCTTTAACCAAGCTGCTGAACCCATCTTCTAAATTCTCAGGGCTCGCACAGAAAAATGCAATCATTTAGACTAGTTGCTAAGGGACAGAGTATCACTTCACACCACGCTATTAAAGAAGTAAAAAAATGTGTGAGCTTGGTAATGTGGCAGATGCCTGTAATCCCAGCACTCTGGAAGACTGAGGCAGGTGGACTGCAGGTTTGAACCCAGTCCAGGCAATCAAACAATGCAGTAACTAAAAAAAGGTTGGGTTCGTAGCCCAGTGCGAAAGTCAGAGTTCAACCCCTAGTAAGGCCAAAACAAGAGAGATCTCATTTTAGGTCAGGTCATAACAATGTCCTAATTTGGCATCTAAAGTAGCACTCAGAGGAAACAGGTCACTTGATGAAATCATGTGATTTAGAAGAGGAAAGTGCCCTAGCAGGGTTTCTCAGAAGATCCACAGTGCTCACAGGCAGCTGAGTGATAAGACATCTGCCCATACCACCTTTTCAGGGTGAAGGGAATTTCATTTCTTTTTAAGGCTCTGGCTGACTTACCTTCCGCTTGTTGTGATAGGCAATATAGAGAACAGCAACAAGGATGGCTGCGGTCACCAGATATGCAAAGAAATGGCTGCTCTCTGCACTGGCACTGCTTCCAGGACTGTTCTTATAAAGGTCATCCTTCTCACTGTTCCCAGAATCCAACAACGTCTCTTCTCGGTTCTCATTGGAGGCTGGCCCTGACAGCTTTTCTTTCTCTTCTTCAAGAGGTGATCCCTCCTCCGGCCCTGCATCCCCTTCTTCAGGCTCCTTGAGCTCCACATCCTGAACAGTCTCTGAATACTTGTCGTCTCCCTCCTGCCCAGGAGCAGAAAGGTCAGAGTCCGCTGTCACTTCAGTGTTGGACTCATGAGGTGAGGTATTTCCTTTTTTAGGTGGTTGGGGTTTTTCCGGGGGCCCCTTGTTACCAGAGGGGTTGGTTATGGGTTTGGAGCTTTCTGGTGGGGACTGCTGCGCTGGGTCCAACCTGAGGGGCTCTTGTCCTGCGGGCTGTTGCTGCACCGCCGTCGTGTCATGGTCTTCTTTCTGCGGGGAATGCTGTTGATCCTCCGAGTTTTCCGGGTTTGGTTTCGAGTTTTTCGGGTTTGGTTTCGAGTTTTCTGGTTTGGGCTTCAGAGACTGCTTCGCCTCCGACTCGTCTGGGTTTGGATTCTGTGAAGGCTGCTGCGCTTCCGACGAGCCAGGGCGTTGCTTCGTGGCTGTCTGCTCCGGCGTGCCCTGGTCTCCGTGGTCAGGTAGTTGCCCTGACACCGATGGAGGGCGGGGCGGGGCCCCGGGGGAAGGACTGCAGGAGTCTTTGTTCGTAGAAGGCTGAGGTGTAGTTGGTCCTTTCCCAGTGGTGGGGCTCTGATTTTGTCCTGGCTTCAATGTGGGCGGCGGGGCTACAGAAATAGAAAAACCAGTAAGGCCTTCGGAGAGGCAGGCGGGGGCGGGGGCACGGGGGGCACGGGGAGCAGGGGACTCCATAGCGCTGAAGGGACCAAGGGCGATGGACGCACTCTCCGGGAAAGGGGAGAGGGAGCGATAGAAGTGGAGGGGTGTCCACGGCAGGAAGGCCAGGGTAGGTGGTGACTGGAGGAGCGAAGGAAGGTGACCGGCCTGGGGTCGAGAGTCGGAATGGGCGCGGCGGGGGGGGTTTCTTACCCTCCGCTGCGACACTCAGCAGGAGCAACGCGACGAAGAACCGCATCCTTCCCAGACTGCGCTTCCGCTCTCCGCTGCTCTCGCGAGAGCTCGCGCGGCCTCCGCCGAAGCACCGCCCCTTCCGGCGCGCGCCTTCCGGCCTGCGGCTGCGCCTGTGACGAGGCGTGACGCGCCGCGGCGCGGACGTCGGTCTCTGCTGGGCGTTAGCTACAGACCATACTCCGGTTTGATCGTCACTCTGCGCTTCTGGATGGCCCGCACAGTGCGGGCCTGGCACCCGATGCCAGTTCTCCGCCCCGAGCTCTGACCTCGCCATTTCCTGTGCCTTTCGCGCAGCACCCAAAATCCTCTGTGTTCGGGTGTTTTCCCATCTAAAAACGGGCATCATCGCATTGGTGGCGGCAGCCTGCGTCCTGGCTCTCCTCTTTCCCGACCTGGTGGAAATAGGTCGCCAAAGATCACTGGTAGGGCTGGCCAAATAGCTCAGCGGACTATACCGCCTGCAAGCTGCCGCAGGGACTGGGGGTTCGATTCCCTGGCCTACCGTGCCGGCCCCGTCCCCGGGGCGCGCTGATGCGGACCTGTAATCCCAGCCCTGGGGAGGCTGTAAACAGAATCAACGAGTCCGATTTAGTAGTGAGACCCTGAGCACCCTGTAGACCCTTCCCTAAAATACAGAAAATAAACAAAAAACATGACTTTAAAAGAAATACAGGGGCCGGGGAGATGGCTCAGTAGAAAAAGCACTTGCCTGGCAGGCAAGGACCTGGAAATAAAAGAAATATACATTAGAAAATTCTTGCCTTAGGCCCATGTCCACCTTACTGTTTATATTAGTTTATTGCATTTTTGTTTTTGTTTTAATACAGGGTCTCACTTCTCAGGCTGGCCTCAAACTTCTGTCATTGCTCCTGCCTTAACTTCCCAAGTGTGAGCTCACAGCCATACACCACCACACCTGGCTTGAAGTCATTTTGTGAACATTTGCCAGGCTAGATGTTTTGCAGAAAGATGTTTTTATTAGTTTTTATTTTTACTTTTTTTTTCACGGAATTGGGGATTGAACTCAGGCCCTTGCACTTGCCAGGCAAGTACTTATTCTACTGAGCCATCTCCCCAGCCCAAGATGTTTTTTTTTTTTTTTTAAATGATAGATTTTAACTGGGCTCTCCAGGAGACTGCGCTTTAATTTTAACTTAGGTTGAAAACCTACGTCCCAAATTCCAGAGAGGTTAAGTCAGGAAGATAGCTTGAGCCGGAAGTTCAGGGCCAGCTTAGGCAAGACCCACTCAACAGGGAAAAATGATAACGCATGGAGCATATAATCTAGTGAGGCACATATATATTAAAGTTGTGCATTGTGAAAATGGAAAGAATGGAAAGTCCGAGTCTGTTGAGAGGACCTTGTCGCTGAGGGCTACAAGCTGTGGGTGTCCCTGGTGAGGCTGAAGAAGATGAGGAAGATGAGCTTCCTCTGCTGGTGTTGCAGGCAGCTGAGTTAGACAGAAACATTATAGGCAGTCAGACAGTGCCAGGCCCTCAAGGAGACAAGATGGAAGACAAGGTGACTTTGCAACTTGGAAGAGACAGACACTCCCATATGGGCCACATCTCAAGACCAAGACAAAAAGAGGAAGCACAGCTACATACTTC